AAAACTTTTTACTTTGTAGAACTATAAGTAGTTGCTAAGTTGTACGAATGGTACGCACACGGGAAATCTGTTGAACTTGGGGAGTTTTTACGAGGACTGTGCCCATACCATGGATTCCGGTGAAGGGAGCAGGAACAGTGGTATTACTGTAAATTGATATTCTTGGTGGGTACTGCTAAAGTTGCTCCTGCTTAGGCACTACAAATGGCCTATAATGTACTGCAGGCCCAAAAAACGATAAACTTTAGGTTTTTTATTGCTTGAAGCATAACCATACACATGCCTTCAATTATGTCTACCTAATTTTTATCAATAACACATGGCTTGGCATTTAATGGCTGGGTGACTTAGGTTTGAATAGTCTTTGGTCTTCAAGTACGGCTCATTGCTGACTCATCCAGGCCGATAGATCTATTGATGGAAAGGAACACATGCCAGTCAATCAACTGATGGATGAGACCTAAAGATACATCAAAAATCCCACTTATAGATAAAAAGAGGGCTGGATGAATTGAAAGAAAAAGACAAGCTACCCATTGTTTAAAAGAGTAAATTTTAAGCCTCCTTCGGTAAACTTTTATAGCGCTTTTAGCCTCCATTTCTCATTATTATATGCCGTCCAGATTTTTTTGTTTGTCAGCCTCCAGATAGATCAGTAGATGCAAATGATACGAACATATTAGCAATGATTGACTTTTTCGCAATGTTCAAGAAAGCAAAAGTGGAAAGTTGAAGTAATATTTTTGTTGTTAAGAAAAATGACCCGAAAACCATGCCTTTCCTTCCTTCCTTCCTACCCTAACCATCAAAAATCCCTTCAAGGGAAAAAAAGTGGCTACAACTACTTCAAAAAGGGATTATTATTGCCTTAGATAGCCTTGCAGTTACAAATCTCCCTTAGAAGTCCCTGATTATCTTGCTGACAGTGTAATGGAAACATTTTGACGAGGAGAGGCAGGCTCGACCAAATATAGCGAAGTTTCGTGGAATCGGCCGGCAATCTGGACCATGAGATGACCTAAACTCCTGCGTACATGCTATGCTTACTAAAATGGACACGATTCTGCAGCATAAAAATTCTGACGTCTTCTTGTGTCTGTGGGTGCCCGTCTACTCCACGGACTAACATTAGCATACTGGCAGGTGGTTGGATCAGTAGGCAGCCGGTGGATTTGTCACGCTGCAGACATAATAAACAGTAGAAATTATGGGGCTTTTTGACAAGCAAACTACCACCATCCTCACCATTACCTCTTTTACCTTTATTTTTTCCTAATGCTATTACCTGTGCAACAGGAATCACGGTGTTTGAATGCAGTGCAGATGTCTGTCCATCATATGTGCCTAGCGCAAATTATACTTCGCCAACTGTCAACAACGGTTTTTCCTACCTGAATAATTCACAAATAAAGAACAGATAAATTTGCCCCTCGATATTGGCTATGAAAGGATAGATATCTAAAATGTCATCTACTCCTATTAAACAGGGAACAATGCAACCAGTTCCTCATCTCTGTCGTGGCAGTTTGCAAGGCTCTTCATCTCACCACTTGATGTCTCAG